AATCTGACTTCTTTAAAGAACTCTTAAATGGTTACTGCTTCCTAAAAAAAAAAAAACCTACTTCACGTGTGCTCTCCTTCCTTAAAAATATGCTGAATGGAGTTACTTCTAAGTGTCAGATTTGTACTTTTCACTGCCCTTTTGAGACATTTGGAAAAGACATGGCTGAGAGAGAGGAAATTAATAGATCAGGAAATAATCTACAATAAATCAAAATACAGTCAATGTAGTATTTTTTTTTTTACTGCTAGCATTAGACTGAGTGTAGGAACGCAGAATTCATCAAACTTTCCAAACACAATGCAGAGACCTCCAAATCAGGAAGTAACAATCAATTTGGTTTATTTGCATGAAACCAGTATCTTCAGCTGTCTTCCTCCCACCCCTCCTCTCTTGAAGTGATGGATGTTTGAAGCTGAGGTCCAGATACCTCAACGAATTTTAATAACCCCGTTTGGTTCCAGAAGAGAGGAAATGGTTTGCAATATCTGAAAGTCCACTAGACCAACTGATCATTTCTTTCTCTCTGTAGATCAGCTCTAACCCAAAATCTATGAGATCTGGTATAAGAGCAGTGCTGTACCCATGCTAACAGGCCCTGCTGAAAGGAAGGATATAATAGCTCAGACTTCATCTAGCCACTTTAGGGTGAAGACAGTCTGAGTTCTTATTGCCTCACTCAACCAGATATGTTGGTGCAAAGTTTCATGTATTTCTTCAGGTCACTTTGGCTTAGAAAGCTTAGATCAGTTCACCAGGAAACAGAAACAACATCATGGGCAGAGATGACCAGTCATACATAAACAATGGGCATTGCATTACAAATCATCATCATCAATAGGTAATGTAGATTTCTGTTTGATTGTTCAGTGAAAAAATACATTATGGACATACAAGCACTTTCTAAGAAAGATAGTAAGACTGAAAAACATCATTCACGCTATTCTATCAATCAATAGTACAGGAATGTTCACATACAAGGCCAGCTCCATGCGTTGCATAGATCAATACAGGACTGAGCTCATGTTGAGTCATGTCATCGATAACTGTGCCATACTATTTTCATTTTTGTCACTCCCACCTAAACGCAGACCAACAGTAGCTGAGAGAAGCAGTGTGAACCACTGCTTAAAATTCTCCTACCAAAACGAGGGGGAGTCAATGTGATTTCCATGTCTTTGCTGGAATCCATTCCCTCTCTGGATACTGCCAAACCAACCCAACCAGGGATGACTCATCCACAGGGCCTCATAAAGTACTTCTGAAAGGCTTGGGTTTTGCCTTTGGAATGCACTGGATTACACCGAGAGTTTGTGATGCTCCAGTGTGGGGGAAGAGGACATCCCTGACTCTTCCCTACAAGGACATTCCCTGTCTGCACTCCGCAGTTTTAATTGCATACTCAGTTTATTCCTCAATACCTAAGGAAAGCATTGAGTGTTCATTCCTTTGGCAAATGATACCACCCTTCCACTTTGATTTTGCTTCTGAAACATTTTTTTGCTTGCATAGGAAAACACATGAATAAATTGCCCGGCTCTCACTCTTCCTTGTTTTCCCATTTCTAACCTTGTGGTAAAGGGATGTATGATGAGCTACAGAGGAAAAAATCTGTGGGAGTCCCAGCTAAAATACTGTCAGCACATCACTGGGTAAAGTAGAAATATAAAAACCCAAAGAAGGGCAAAAATAAAACACATAGAAGAAAAGAAATATTCCACAGGAGAGAGTAGAAGCCAGTAGGACTGTTTTGTTTAGAAAGAATTTGATGGATCACATGGCAGTTCACACGAATTAATGTGTAGAGTAAACAAGTCCACTTGGCTGATAGTAGTTTCTCCCTTAATGCATATTAACTAAAATTGAACCCACTATTTGTAACACAACATATTGTAGAGCTATGAAATTTACTACCACCTACACTGTACTAATGAGCCAACAACCTAGTATGACTTTAAATTGGGCAAGCATTTCGTAACAGTAAGATCATTAGTGACAATAACTAAGGTAAACATTTACAGAACATATCATCCTGCACATCTGAGGACTGAAATCAAACATTTTGCTGATTGGAGTTAGGAAAAGAAATCACTGCTGGTAGATTTTTTCATCATTGTCTGCCATGGCTGATAGACAACTTTAGCTGAAACCGCCTGGGTTCTGGCAACTTTCAGCAAAAGCACTGGGATTGTTCTGATTATGACAACATCAATGACTCTATGTAAGATTACAGAAAGTCAAAGAAAGAGGTAAAGAAAATTAGGAAATTGCTTGGTTAATCATTTCACTTAAATCTGTATAGTACACCAGGAAAGACAGAAAAACATTGTGGTTCCTAGCTTCAAGAATTTACCAAATGTGCACAAGAGTTATCTCAAGTTCTACCTGATGAAGTTCAGTCAGGTCTTTAGCTGTCCACAAATGTTTCACATATTTAATTCTATTGATGTTATTAGAACTCCTGAGGTGGAATTTCTTAGAAGTTCCTCAGAAATGGCTTCCTAAACCTATTTATTGATTTGGCTTCTCAGAAGTGGCTTGCATGAGTTCCTCGACAGTCACATCTGAAATGAGTCTCTACTTGTTTGTATCTCGCTTCGTGAGCCCCAAAATTGAAAGGTATATTAGTCAGCACCATATAGTATTTATTAAGACCACGTTTTTATAGAAAGTCTTTCAAAAGGAAAATAGAGGTCTATCAGGAAAATACACTCAAAGTACTGTGTTTGTCATATCTGGGCAACCTAGCTGTAATGATAAAGTGTGTATTCATCTCTAGCTGCTGGGCTGGACTGTTATAAGGTCATGTATTGCAGAAGAAAAATTGGGCCTGTCTCACAGAAGACCTAGAGAAATGACTGAATCAGGACTGAATAAGGGAACATTTCTCTCGCAAAATGGCAATATAAATGATATAGGGCTGACTAATAATACAGTTGGTTTCCACTAACTAACAGAATAACATGATGATCTACAGAACTGAATTCCAGACTCTGAGCTAAGATAATTTTTTTTCTTATTTTCCATCTGAGTCAGTTAGAACAAAACCTGTGTTCAAGAGACCAAGTCTCATGCTTTTTGCTTCCCCATTTACTCTTATGTGGGTATCCCCATCCGATCTGAGATGTGTAAGATATTCCATACATCAGAAGCCCCATAATGGTGGTTCAAACATGGTTCCAACTCATAATGGACTTACAATGCAAATCATCTGTGGACAGTTTGACTAAGAAAATAAATATTTCTCATGGACAGAAGAACTGATTTCATTTTACTGAAAGATGATGAATCCAGGAAGCATGTGAAAGCACAGTGCCATATGTGTCTTTCAGTTTCCAGTTTTTAAGGTTCCAGTTCTTAAAAGAGGGACATCCAACTTAATGGGAGAATTAGATAGAAGCTCAGCTAGGCCAAATCTCTGGCCACTGCTTTGTCCTCTGTGGGTTTTTCTAATGGAGAATATAGCCTCAATGCTTTCAATTTAGTGAGTCGTACCTCCCCTGTTTAAGTGTACCTACGGTCACATGGTTATGTCTGTAGTCTATCTCCCCTTTCTGTACTCAGAAGGGCTACCCTGAATCTGGTTATTACCTTCCAAAATCAATCTAGTTTAAGGATTATTCTTCCTGAAAATGCAATGGGCAATCTCTTGTCTTCAATATTTTGCTTAAAACATCAAGCTGCATGTACATCCTAGAAGAATTTGAACATGGGATCTGAGCTAAGATCTTAAGCAGTCTGAAAGAACACATCAGTCTGCCGAATATGATATCCAGAAAAATACAAGTTCTCATTTCAAAGGTAATACACACACACACACACACACACACACATACATATATATGTATATAAATCTGCATGGCATATTTGCTGTGCAGGCCTAGACTCCTTGTGAAGTTGTTTTTCAGTATAGCAAATTAGAAAAACATGCCCAGAATTAAAGGTTACTTAATCGGGTTGAAGCAGCAACTTCAATTCCAGCAACTCCCTCCCACTATGCTACATCTGATAATGTACCCAAGTCCAAACATAAACTTAGTTCAAAAAGATGTTTGGTCCTTGAATGTAAAATGACACTTAGCTTACACAATTAGCCAGGTAATACATATCCTTCCCAGAGAAGCAATTTTTACCGCAGAATAATCTGCATTTTACTAATCTCTGATTGTTAAGTTTTACTTGCTGAAACTTTTCCATATGGCTCTTTGAATACCACTGTCCTGTATTTAATTACCACAGAGGGATATTAATGAAGAGGCTGGAAATTTGGCCCAAGCCCCGTTCCACAGTTTGGACAGTTTGATGGAGATAGAGCAAATGAGCAGAACATTTCTGGTGGTACAAGGCTGTGCCATTTCACACACAAAAGCAGTGGCAAAAGAGGAGTAAACAGACCTATAGAAATAAAACACCCACATATTTTTGAATTGTCCATAAACCTCTAAAATAGTATGGTTGCAAAGGCGCATTGAGTGAAGAGAAACGCTGGTTTGCTAATGTAAAGTACAGTCAAACAGGAATTGCTGGAGTAGTCCTTGTAATTGAGACCGTTTTTATCAAGCCGTAAGTAAGATGTGTGCCCAGAAATGCAAAGTGTACTCCCAATTTTAATGGCAAAACATGATACTGAGCAGAACCCAGGCAAGGGTAGGCAGCTTGGAGTGTGGAGGATGCGAGGAAGCTAACGTGGGTGGGAGAGCATATGTTGCTGCCTGGATGAGGAAGTGGTACACCACAGTTACTTCATAAGTGCAGGGGCTTTATAAACTAAATCTCCTAGGGACTGTTTTAAATAGACAGAGAATGACACGCAGCCCTGACAGGCTTTCAGTATTGTTTGCGAAGGCTGGCTGCCTTCTAAAAACACTGGACCGCCGCTTGTACTTTTTCCAAAAATGCCTATTTTTAACCTCAGCCTCTTCATATAAACAGTGGGCAGATGCACCATGTAGTAAACTCTGTTTTGTCTAGCATGAAATTAATGGCTTCCTCAGTCTTACCTGACAATGGAAAACATATTCCGGTGTGGTTTTCTTGAACTTCATGTTCCATACCAAGGCTACCCCATCAGGCTCATGTGGAGCATCTTCGTTATTGTTATAAGATGCAACCATCAACTCGGGGTACTAGAAAGAAAAAGAACAAGCAAATGAAATAAGATGGATGGTGAAGAACCTATGCAAAATCAGATGAGACAGAAATAATCTCACACTACATGTGAAATATCTGGTTTTAATTGTATTACACACTAAGTCCAATCATAGTATTCAGCTTCATTTTGGTTTTAGATTTTACTTGCCCCTGACGTCCTTAAAGCCTCTGTTCCTTGCTCTCTAGCAGTTATTCTCAGGTACCACAAAGGCAATGGTATTTTCTTCAGGTAATTCTCAGAAAAGACAACTAGCAGGGTATTCATAAAGGGAATGCAAAGCAAGGAAGAGGAAAAATCTGCTTCAGTAATTCTAATGTATTTGCTTAATCATTTCTTCAGGCAGAAACTGTTGTCTTAATGTATTTTGATAATAAAAACACTATGATCATAGCGTTGACTTGCTTTTATTCTGAAATTCACAGTTTTTTCAGCATCCCTGAAAACTATTCTTTCTTATTTCATTATGCCCTCTTCCTATTCACTTATGCGTAGAATCAACTTGAAAGCTCTTCTCGATGATTCAAATAGCAAACAAAACATTTTCTTCACAAAAGCTCAATTTTGCAAGATGCTGAGGTCATCTTGTAAAGCCCAGGGTGACCTCGAATTCCACTGACTCAGTAAGATTGATGCAATGAGCAGTCTAAAATCAGATCCATGTTTCCTTGTACACCCGTTATGCACTGATGTATAGAAGTAGATATGCTACACACACATATGTATTTGCTCTGTTTACATATATATACACACATATATATACACACACACATAATATTATATATGAAAAATCAGATTTTCACATTCTGTTGATGACCTTGTATCATTTTGAAACACCATAAGAAATAACAATTTGTCCACAAAACATCAATTACTTTCTGCCTATACGATAGCACCCAGTTCTCCATTCTCACATGTTTGAGACTCGGCACCTCTGGTAGCTTCTGTCCTTCCCTCTAAATAGTCAAAGTAAGGCAGCGACCTTATGGCATGTCCAGAGAAAAGCACATGGCTTCTGCAGACCAACGAGCCAGCAGCCCAAGCTCCACAGGACCCAAACCTTCCTCTTGTAAACTAGGAATGCTTTCCCTCAAAATTTCTCAATGATCTCCACAAATTGTTGTCACTTTTTGCCTTTCCCAGGTAAATTCTTGCCAAACCATTCCCCACTTTGTAGGGGAACAGTACAGCTGGTAGGTGTAAAGGAAGAGGGACAAAGAAACTGCCAGTAGTACTACTGGAAGCTGTGAATTTGGTCCACACCAGGCATTTTAAAAATAAAAAAAATCCACCACTTTCTATATCATTATTATTGACGTTTGAACCTCTCTTCTCTCAAAATCCATTTGGAAGAAATAATGTGCGCAGCTATAACTGCTGCCATCAGCAGCTCTTCTTCCCCACTTTGCATACACTTCCATGGATAATACATCATGGAGCTGATGATTTTTCTGTTCAAGCTCATTGTTCCAAATGAGGCTTGACCCACGTGTGGGAGAACCAGCAATGACACATGGCCACCATAGCTGCCTCTTGCCCATTTTGGGGCAGCTCTGAGTGGGTTGTACCTGCATCCTGGCAGACCCTGGCTCCTGGCATAGCTTGTAAGGGCAATTTAGCACCCAAATCACTTGCATGGGATTTAGAGCATGCAGCAGGTCAATCACCTCTTCTCCCTCCTCAAGAACCGAGGGAGACCTGAGGGTGGTTTAATTTCACACCCGAGATCCCACCTCTCTGGACACAGTTGTGCCAGCCTGCCCTCCACCACTCTCACCCATCCCACGCCCCTCTTCTCTCTCTCTCCTGCGACAGAGATTATAACCACTTCTAAACAGTGAGCTCGGCTTCTCCTTTGAACCTTTTCATCCCATGTTGGCCCAGGTCCATGTAAACAGCGTGCGCAGCAGGCTCTTGCCAGGGCATCTCGTTTTGGCTGAACAGGTTAGGTACCATTCGCGTGAGCAGCTGAGCCCACAGTCACGAAGGGGCAGACACCTTGGCAGGCAGAAGCCGCAAGCCCTTCCACCAGCATGACTGCAGCCAGCTCGGGTCATACGCCCTGGTCTGAAGCACCAGCTTAGAGGCACTTTGGGGTTGGTTCACGCTCCTGGAAAGTTTAGCAAGCATGTTCTGGTTGGCGGCATGTCTGGCCATAAACAAACACTGACTCAATTCTTGCTGGTCTATATGTAGGTTTTGCAATCACAGTTTATGCATCTGACTGGAAATACAGTTTCAACTTTACACATACGCTGGGCTCACCATTACGAGGCTTTTTGACTCTTCAAATACCAGAGCTAAGTGCAGCACCCTAAATCCACACTGGCATTGCACACTCTCCGCTTTGTTCAATCTGCTTGCATTTACAGAATCTCAGTCCTCACCAGGTGCCCAGCTGTCCTGTGACTGTGACTGAAAACAAAGTGGAAATGGTGCTGTGGGAAACAGCAGTCAAGGCTGCCGCCTGAGAGTCAAGAGAGATGCAGCAGTATCCCTGAGACTGTGGTTTTCTTGGCTTTAGATGAGCTAAGTTACCTCCTCGTGGACAGAGCAAGGTGATCCCGCTCTGTGTTTACACTCAGTCTGTTGGGCCTTTCCCTTAGATCCTTGATGAAGCATCTAAGCTGTTTTCCCTTTGCTCTGCAAAAGAATCAAGGGGCTAGTGGGTTAGCTTTAATGGTATGAATGATCCCACATGTTTGGGACCATATTTTACATGTGACTAGGAACAGAATAACTTGTTTAATCAATGCATCAAGGTCCTTTGCTTGATTAAGCTTCTATTTGCCTCCAGGCTGTTTTGCAGCAACAGTTTTATCGCAGAAAATTGGGCAATGTGCACTGCAGTTCCCATGATTATTCAAGTTATCCTTTGGCATACAGGACACTGCCATGCCCTGGAGCACGAGCGAGAAGCAGAGCTAGCGGTTATGTGACATATCTCCACCAGGCTCCAGCTCCTGCCGCATGATGCACCCCAGAGCAGGCAAGAGAGGAGGCAAATCCCTCGTCCCAGGCCAGCACAGGGCGGCGTGCAGAAGCCCCCCGGCATGGAGAAGCCACGGGGGTGGAGAATCCCCTGCTGGGGTGCCAGGGAGCTGAGCATGAAGAGTTAACGGAGGGGAAGGCAGGAGGGGCCACCCTGGAACAAAGAGGTGGGAAGCAGAACATGCCTGCGAGCCCCAGGGGCTGAGCAATTACATTTGGCAGTGCTCTTCTGAGGCGGCTTTTTTTCTTGCTGCCCTGGGAATACAGTAAGAGCTGCCTGTTAGGAAAATATCAGATAAGAATTCCATGTCATTTCCAGCCCCTGAACAAGTGAACAACCTAAGATAAGTGTTTCCTCAGGCTTATATTTGATTTCTGTGGAAATCCATATGTGCTTAAAGGCCACCCACGTCACACCAGTGCATACCTGTTGTTAAGCTGATATTGTGCATGAAAGCAAAGGGATAAATACTTCATTTCACACATGAGGCGCGAGCTGGATATTAGAAGAAGCCTCTCTGCAGCTGGCTGTTGTGCACCACACCGGGTCGGACAGCCAGACCTGCACAGCCTGTCGGCAATGCGATGCGATGCTCGGTGAGACCCTCCAGCTCCTCTCTGCCCTCCTGCCTGCCACGTCCTCCATGCAGTCAGCTGCCACCTTACCTGAGAAGTACCTGGAGGGATGGAAGCAGCCCTGCTGCCATATCAAGGGCAAGGAGAGAAGGATGGATGCGAGAGTGCTCCTTATCCACTGCCTCTCCCCAGCTCGCACGCACCATTCATGCATGTGGCCTTAAACACATGCTGTCTCCATGTGCAACACCTAATGCGGCACAGAAAGGGCAGCGACTTCTAAGATTAGGCTAAGCAAAGCTTGTCCTTAACGCTGGGCTGACCTGCATCCACAGCAACTTTGCTACCCACACCAGGCTGCATCAGGGCTCCGCACACACCAGGGCACGCCTCAGGCTGGGTTTGGGGCCAGCTGGGCAGACTGGATTGCGTTATCCATTTTTCAAGCCTGTGTCCTCCTGGAGCAGTTTCGTTATATCTGCGTTGTGGACCTTGGAGCAGAGTCTCCCTGGTTTCCTCCCCAGGGAACCCAGATGCTTTGCTCCAGGCTGGAACCTAGGAACAGGCTAACAGGGACAAAGCAGAGAGGAGGAGGGTGGTTGGAGCGAAACCGGGACCAAATCAATTTGACAGGACCTGGGGTGATGTGTGCATGTGCTAATCCCAGCTCTCCAACGGAGTAACTAATTAACCTGGTTTCTGTGTTTTGCTGATGCGGCTGTATTGGTTTTGGGAAGCTTAAGCAGCTCTGTCGTCAGTTTTATTTTGCAATATGACAATGCTTTGTGGTGCACAGCAGCTGGCCAGGGGACATGCTAAAGCAGGGTGCCTGGAACGTATCTGGTTTTGAAAGACCTCTTTTCAATCTTTCCAGGTTGTTCAGATGCTTTCACATTTTGAATTGTATTATATTAGAAAAAAAATTATTCCTCACTATTATTTTTTATTTTATATATTATTATGTATAACTATTATTATGTATAGCTATTTATTAAATCAACTGCTACATATTTAGTAAATTATTTTTAATTGGTTTAATTTTAAATTTTTTGTCCTAAAAAAATTTCCGTGTGCTGAAGGAGTTGAGGGGGGAGGAAAAGTAAAGACTCCTTCATCTTAGTAGGCTTGTTAACCTATAGTTTTAATACAGCATCCTGGTTTTGAAGACCAAGTAACATACAAAAAAAATGACAGCTTCATTATTGCCCACTACCCTTCCTTATGGAGAAACATGCATTCACTCCTTCAGGGCCCTGCTGTTAGCTAAGAAATAACACCGTATTCTGCAGAATGAAGGGCAAACTGAGGCCAGACATATTTTTTTTACGGAGAAGTTGGAAGGGATATAGAAACATATCTCCCAGCTTCACATCTTACCTGAAGAGACCAATCCATACAGGTGACGACACGATGCTTTGACCAGTGCTCATCATAAAACTGACGGTTAAAGGAAAGGTTGGCTCCTGCTTGAACATCTCTGTGGGAATTCAAACAAAGTGACACTTTTTGAAGTACCAGCATTCAAATGCTGTGGAAAGCAATGCAAAAGTTTCTGACTACTACTTCTCAAATCTCTGCCCAGCCTGGGGAAGACTGCTGCCTTGATTTAATTGCTCTCACTGACTGTCTTGCTGACAATTTTTACAATTCTGTTTCACAAAACCACATTTCTTAATTTCCTGACTCTTCTGCGTCACCCTGGGCCGCCACTGCCAACTTTGTCTCTCAGGATCGAACCTGGCCCTGGCATTCAGCTCCCCCTTTTCTGAATCTTCACCTCCAAGATATAACCAAATCTATTTTTGATTCCTGAGATCTTAAAGTTACAGCACCTCCTCCCAGCGACGGAGATGGCGGCTGCCTTCTGGCACCATTAGGATGGGCTGAAGCTCCGTGTTGGTCCAACGCTGCCACACTGGTGCATTCAGCTGGCCACAGGGGCAATGCTCTAGAGTTACCTCCCGTAACTTCAGTGCAACACAGCTACCGATTTGCCATGAGGCTTCAATGGATATGCAGCTGTTGAAATCTAAATGCTTCCTCTCGTACTACCAAGTTTTGCCGCTTCTACTCCCCTATCAATTGCTGAATCCACAACCTGTCACCTCTCGTCTTCGGTGTTCAGATTGCAAACATTTTGGGAGATCACCATTTTCATCCACACCATGCATAGCACAGCGGGATCCATTACAGACCTGAAGCAGTAGTAGAATATAAACAACAGCAATCTGAATTTGTAAAAATATCATGATACAACAACACTGGAACATACACATGCACATCTACATATACATGTGTATACACATACTTACTAATTCAATTATTGAAGTTTTTCTTCAGAATTTAAAATTTCATCCCCAGAAGTGAAACAAAAAATTAAATCACCTGCATAATACATGGAAGAAAAAACCCCAGAGCAATTAAGCATGAAGCTAATTTACAAAATAATTTAGGCTAACAGAGTGACCCAGGTCTTCATGGAGAGGTTTTAAACTTTTCTTAACTATAAAAATGTTTAGTTTAGTTTTAAAATTAAGGTTTCTCGGCATTGGAATTATTTTTATAAAGGTTATTTTACAAAAGCGAACAAACCCCAAACTGACCCATCTTTCTCTTCTACATCTCTGCCACTGTAGTCGAAGAAGATGTCTGAATCTTCAGCCAAAGCTCGCTCAATTACACGTATTGTCCGGTCAAAAAATATCAGGAATTCTTCTGAATGGAGAACTTGCTGTTTTTCTTCTTCTGTCAGTTCTCTAGGAGGAGCTTGGAAAATGAAATGTTGTAGTTAAGAGTCTGACATTTCACCCCTTTCCCAATGAATCAACATCTTCAGTGGGTTTCTTTTGACATGAAAGCTTGCCGTAGCAATGTCAGGACAAAAATCAAAGCTTTACTCTTAAAATCATGACTAAGAATTTTTTAGTATGTCTATACATAGTCCTGTATATTCCCGGAATGTAGCATTTACACAGGAGAGATCCTGTATCTTATATATTTATTATTCTGAAATGGAAAATACTTACCACCACCACCACCCCCCCCCCAAATTAAATAAACGCCGTGTTCCTGTTTCAGGAAATGGCTGTGACTGACGTTTAGGCAATACCTAACTTGAAAAAGCAGAACACTTATGTAACAGGGGACCTGTCAGAGGAGCCAAAGATAAAATAATCTTCTTAACTTATACTACAGTTCTTTGTGTTAAAAGGGCTCACATAATCTCTCCCTTCACTTCTTCCCATTTCTCCTTGGTGTCACTGATAAATCCTGTCTCTGCTTTAAAGCTTTTATGAAGCAATGAAGAACATAACCAAAGGTATTCTCTGAGGCAGCAAAATCGAAAGCAACTGCCCAAACACAAGTTTCTTTAAGGCAGTTTTATTCCTTGCAGAGGAATCCGAAGAGCCAGAGCAACAAATGCCACTGAGCTGCGGCCAAAGCTGCCCTGGAAGGGCGTAGGAGCTGTCTCAGGCACCAGTCAGGATAGCCAGGCCCCCATGAGATGAAGTTGCTTCTTTACACGTATGCAGAGATGCTAAACCTTTACTTCCAAACCAATATTTCCAGTATGGCCCTTCATTTGAAAAATACTATCTCCGCAGGATGCCCCAGCACTATGTCTCCATCGGCTGAATGACTTGGTAAATTCCAACTCAAATGTGAGCGTTGGAGGGAAAGGAAATTGGGATGCTGCTATTGCCATGGTGCAAAATTCTGTTCTCAATGACACTAGCAGGGTTATATCGATATTGTGGCAATGTTGCGTATCAGTTGTGCCTTTGCCCACATGCGCTTTTAAGTGATCATTTTAGTTATATTTCAGAATTACTTGTATTTCAAAAAATGCCATTAGTATCTTCACAGTTGGACCAAATCAACCTTGCAACTAGCTTAAATTCCCAGCATGAAAAGCTCTGTTGACATCACAGGAATTATGCTAACAGAGAATTTTGTTCCAAATTTATAATTAGGTACACAAACAACATGTTATAAACAGATTTACTAAAAAATTACAGAGACTCATACTTCGAATTTAACTGTCGATCAAAGGTTTCCTGCATTTGCCACAGATTTGAGGTGCTTACTTGGGAAAATGATGTTGCAGTCTCCCTAGGCCATATTGGGTTAAAACACCAGCAGCCAAAAAAGATAATTCAGCACATTGCCTCAGAGAACACCCAGTATACATCAAAGTTTAACTCCCAGCCCTGTCATACGTGTCTGAATGTTTAATTGAACAACGAGTGACACGGTTTAAAGTTGCAGTTCAAAATTGTTTTCAAGTTGCCGTGCCATGCCACACAGCTACTTTCAGCTATCAGGGAGATGTAGTCCTTGCTCGCCGTCTGATTTTCCCGTGGTTCACATTAGATTTGTAAGCTCTGGTGCCCAAGTGTGATGCCACCACCAGCCCCAGGGGCAAGGACGGATGGAAAGGCGCAACAGCAGGTGGGAGTAGTGACATGGTCAGCATTACTGCAGTACTCAGCTACCCCAATTTTTGGTGTACTTGCTTTCAAAGCACTCCCTGTGGTTGGGAGAGGCTGTTATCACCATGCTTAGGTTTGCCTCAACTGGTCAAAGCGTTAGTTCTGAAAGACAAAATCCCTGCACTACACCTGGGCTAAATATAGAGGGTAGGAATAATGCAAAAGGTGGAGGAGCAATTTGGCCCTCAGGAGACAAAGCAGCTAAGAAGTTAGAAACTTTAGCCTTTGATGATCTCCTATGGCCTTGGCCCTATGCCTCCTACCACCAGGTTAGTGGTCCCTGTGGAGCTCCACACATCCAGAGAATATCTACGTCCCCCCGCACGGTCCCCCTGAGTCGCAGAGCAACAATTACCAAGGCAGGAGTAGCAGAGCAACAATTACCAAGGCAGGAGCACAATTTGCCTCTAAGTGCTTCAGACAGAAGCAATGCATGTGAAAAAAAAAGAATGACTAGCAAAAAGTACAGGTTGACCTATTGCAGCATCCAAAACTGAATAGTAATTGGCACTAAGGGAACTCATCTGGCAAGGAAGCCTGTAATGAGGCAATATCCCACTGTCACCACTAAAGCATCGCTTTCCGAGAATCAAAGACAACAAGCAAGACAATGCAGCAAAATGGCATAAAAGGGGAGAAAATAACTGCAAAGGCAACTGGAAAACTCATTTTAAACTGCTCCAAATGGTAAAAATTATTTGCTAAATCAAATCCTCTCTACAGCTTGGAAATATAAATTTATTACTCAGCCATTTGCCGACTATAACTGGCAAAGAAAATACAACCAAAAATCAATAGAAAGGGAAAAGGCAAAAAATAAACAGCTTGGGAGTTGTGGAGTGTTCACAAGCAATGGAGACACAGATGATTGCAGTTCTACCTCAGCAAGATCTCCCTTGCAGTTAGCAATGATCTGTGGGAGGCCAGCAGTCTATTAAACCTTCTTCGGCATCAGAAACACCTTGGCTAAAGTTTGTAGGGCATAAATCAGCTTACCTCATTCATCTGACTGACACACCAGATGCCCCCTGGCGATATTAAGCTTCATATTTTAACCTTATTTTCTTCTTTCATTCGGCTGCCTCTGAAGTTTTATTTGAGGCACTCTCTTCTTACAAGAATGTTAACATCGTTACTTTTTCCAGTGTAAAACATTGCTGTAACTACTGCAAATACATGAAGTATAAGCAAAAAAACCCCCAAACAGACAGGCTTGTTCTTTCAAATATGAAGATTTTCTAACCATTCATCTTTCAGAGCCACTTCCATTTTCCCCTTGTTCCTTCTCCCTGTCTGTCCATTACCTCGAATAAAATAAAAAGAATCTATGCAATTTTCTGCAATTTTTCTTCCTATCTGGGAGCTTACAGTTGCTTTGATCTCAGCTTTCAAGAGACGCAGGCTCTCTTCAAGGAAAACTCTGAGAAACAGAAGTAGCTGATCAAAGTATTTTTTGTTTTGTTTTGTCACAGACACCTATGCGATGTGACAATATCTTCAGAAATTCCCTGTAAGAATACAGCATTTGTCTTAAAGTATCAGCTCTCCCTGGCATAAAAACCAAACAAACCACATCTAACCTCCCGTGTCTAACAAAGCCTAGCGCGATGCTTGGCTTACCAGCGCTAAAAGTTACGTGCTCATTGCCTGGAGTGCAATGAAAGCTCCTGCAAAAGGAGACCCATACTTTGCTCTCGTTTCTATACCGTAGCTGCGTAATGAATTATTGTGCCTGTGCTCTGCTACCCGCCCGGAGGAGCTCATCCCATCCGTGGCCCCACACAGTTCCTCACATCAAGAGGGCCCACGGTGCAGCCACCAAGTTCTGCCTAGTGGGGCCACGGGGCATCCTGTCTGTCCACGGACACACTGAAAACACAAGCAGAGTGGGTGGCTCTGGGGTTATGAGGTCAACAACGTGTATCAGAGAAGCCCTGTGCTCATGTTAATGTATAATATTGTACGGAATAAAATGGAATTTACATTTAAAATTAAAATACTGTGCAGTTATATACTGCAGGGGAGGAAAACGCGAGGTATATCCATACTGAAAGGCATTGTACGCTTGTGCATGAGCAAAAAGGTCTAGAATATGTAACAAAAATTGATTGTGACATAAAAACAACAGATTTATTCACCACATTTCTGAAAAATAAGAGCATTTTTTTGTTTCACATGTGATTTAACATGATCCTCAGAAATACTGCATTTCACACCAGGTCCTTTGTCTACAAATTTCCTTAGAGAAAACAGAAAAAAAAATTGATATGAAAATATTTCTTTGGATCTTTAGGAACTAAGATAAAAAATGCTGCATACTTGCCCTTATCTGTCAGAAGCAGGTTTGTAGTAAATATAATATAAATAATTGTGATAACAGTGAAGGATCAAATTCACAAATACTTAAATACCAGGATTCGAATCTTCTCCCAAGGGAGCCAAAAAGATATTTAAAAAAAAAACCAAAACAAACCCACACCAGAAAAAAGACCCGCATTTAAATAAATACAATGGAACATAAAAAATATTCTCCTGGAACCTAGGAAACTGTAAAAACCTGACAAAAGAAATGAAGTCCATTAAAGGCAAAAAAGAAAAAAAAAGAACAGAATGAGTAAGTGAATGAAAGAAAGGGCGAACTAATAAAAACAGTAAAGCAGGAAGCAGCCTTGTTATGAGCCCAGAGATATAACGAGAGACAGAAGGAGATTAGTAAAACCCTTTTAAGAGCTGTATTATTACTTTCAGCATGTATTTAAACCCATGTAAACTTTAGATGTGCTGACGACCGGGGATGGTAGAAACGTACAGCGTGAGAACTGCAAGGTGCTAAGGGGCTCTTGGCAGCATTTAGTCCTGGTCTGCTGACAGCCTGCCACCCTCTTGGTTTTCTTGTGCTTCTCACTTTCACGTCAGGCTTGATATGTGCTGCACCCCGATTTGATATGGGCCATACCCTGGTTTGGTATGGGCTGTACCCTGATTTGATATGGGCCATACCCTGGTTTGTTTGATATGGGCTGTATCCTGATTGTGTTGGGTTTAAAATGCAAGTCCCTGCATGGCACAATTGCTGAACATGTACAGGGAGATTTCAAGGCGCATGTAGGGGTTTTTCAGTTCTGGAATAACAGGGTCGAGAACCTTAAACTCAAAACTCTGCAAGGCAGGGCTGTTCCCATTGATCGTGCTTCTCCAGAGGCCGTGCTGAGCACCATCCCTGAGCACACCTGAGCTGGGCTATCGGGATGGGTCCACAGCCCAAGCTCGCTGTGGTGTTGGCGGCAGTTAAACCATGGCGTCACAGGCTATTACAAACCCCCATGAGTTCACAGGGGCAAAGCTGGCAACCTGTCCTGCTCTCATAGCGAAGCCTGAGCTGGCGAGAACTAAACCATCTCCCCCCCACCAGCCTGCTGTGTAGGTACCCGAGCCCCAGGCACAGGGCCAGGGCAAGAGCGGGGCACTGCAGGTCTCTGAAGCCGCAGATCCCAGCCTCCCCCATCACAGCCTTTCATGCAGGTTTCTCTGGATATATCCATGGCTTCAGATAAATGCAGGTTGAGGCCCACTTTCAAGACTCAACCCATCCTGCTGTTCATGTGGTTTCTACTGACCCAAAGAGGCACTTTAGATGGATCTCCAGAGCTCTCTGGCAGTGGAAAGCCCTAGCCCACTTGATGCCACAGTTTGGGATCAGTCTTTTGTTTATGTGGTCAGGAGAGGTTGGGAAGAGGCAGAGCCCAACCCAATTCACCAGCAAGTATCCCACACCCAAGGATCATGCACCTGAGACATGGGTAACAACATGGAAAAAGAAACACAAGGCAGTCCCAAGGCTTCATAGGCTTCAAATGGTCAACAAGCCAGGTCTTCACCTCCCACTCCAGCAACACTTTGGGGGGCTCAGGCTGCTCCTCCACCCTTAGCACCCCCATGGCACTGAAGTGCCGCAAGAGGTGCTGTGCCAGGCAGGCTGCCCCGTTGCAGGTGCACTGTGTGCCTGCTGAATCATCCCCCCCAGACCCTGCAGAGCAACTCTGGGGTGTGTGTGGGGGAAGATGAGGAAATTAAGGATGCAATAAATGTCTGTAGAATTAAATCGGACTACCTATAAACCACAGAGAGAGAGAAAAAAATCACATTTCCTCTTAAAATACCATTATAAAAATAGAGCACTCCTGTCCTGTTGGCTTGGGGAGAGGGAGACTGAACAGACTGGATCCAATCTTTATTTTTCATCCTGACCTATTTTTGAGTTATATTCATGAAAATATTGTCTGCCTTTCTCTCCCCACACTTCTCTCTCCCATGTTTTTTTTTTTTCTTACACTCCTGTAACTCTAAAAAGGCCATGCTGATTTTTTTTTTTTAATCTGTTAAAAAATGTGCTCCCTGAGCTGAAACCAAATTTCAGCCCAAAGCAAATTTTTACGGCTGGGTTATAAATCCCTGAAAAACAGGATTCATAATGGAAGTGCTGACACAGCCTTAACTACTATATAGCAGTGTGAATGGCGCCACTATAATATCTATTAGAGATTCTTTAAAAAGTTCGCAAAATATTGTCTTGCCTTGCAGAGAAAAAGAAGCCAGAGTACTTAATGCCAACATAAACATGCTTTTAACCCATTATGTGCTAATTTGCAGAAAAGCTATTAATTCTGAGTAGGCACACAGAGTGCAGCGCCGACAGGAAATGTTCTTCTAAACTCCTGTTTGACTCGTAACATGGTTTTAATCACTTCCATGAAACACAAACGATGGCTTCAAACTCCGAATGTTGCTCAGAACATGAGAAGGGCGATTACAACAGGGAGGAAAACGAGATTTTGTTGGCAAAAGGGCTAAAGCCAACAGGGAGAGAACGACACCAAATGCTAAAAATGGGACTCCGTTCCCTGTCAATTCGGAGACGACTGCTTCGTTTGATTCACAGCATTTAATGCCAGTCATCAGCACGCCACTATTTTATCCGTCACAACATGTACTGCAAGTCAAGTTCACTTGCTATCAGGCAGTGAGCATGTTTTCTTCTTCCTTGAACCCAGTCAAGTGTTAGCCCCTCCCAAAGCCGGTTCTGCTAAAACAAGCTGTGCCTTGCTTTTACAGCCTGCAGTTTGTGTGCCTGGGACCAGTGCTAAACTAGCCCAATTGGTCTACCAGTCCTGGGGGTCTGCTAGGCAGAGAAGGGGAGCACTGCCCCGAGACTAAAACACGACAAAGAAATAAAAGATGGTGGTGGTGGTGCTCAGTCAGCAAAGTACATAAAAGGCTAATTTGAAAGCCCACGAAAAAGTGAAATAAATCAGTTCAGGAATGTATTTAGATTTTTTTCTCTTCTCTTCATGCAGGAGTTTGTGGTTTCTCCCCAGGTAGAAGGGCTAGTGTTACTTTTTACATGGAAATAAATAGGGGTGGGATCAGCTGTAAGCTGAATACTAGAGGGACATTCAGCAGCTCAGGACAGTGCGTAAGTGCAGTGATACCGGTTTTTATGGCTTCCTGTTGTCATCAGTAAAAGAAATACTGCGTTAGGTCCAGTGTCTGCTAGAGCCCATATGTGAGTTGATGCCACAGTTTTGGGAGGAAGGATAGCTTTCAGGAAAAAGTAAGTTTTTCTATCTTGCCATGTTTCTTGCTCAAGTCTTCAGCTGTGCCTTTGCAGGCTCTTGTGTGACTCCTGTTCCTGCTGTCACTGCTGTTCCCCTCTGCCCACGGCAGCGGTGGCTGGGGGTGGTGGGAGAAGCAGAAGGAGTTAGTTCCCCCCTCTGTGGTTCTACAAGGACCTAATGAGCAATGGACACTGCAGGATTTATGGTGTGGGTGATTTTTTACGATGCTCTTAAGAGGGAAGAAAGATCAATTTATAATCAAAACAGCGTGGCTGGTACTGCAACTCACTTCAGTGTGAGAGGATACCAAATGTGGGCACTATACACCAGACTCAGGTTTTTTAGACACTGGTGTAAATCATGCCAGGCTCCCCTGGATGAGAAAGGAGCATCCGCTGCTGTATTCACATTTAATGATTTCAGGGGCTTCTCCGTAAAATGACTCTGTATTTTTCCCATAGTGAGACTACCTTGTGAAAAACAAAGCCAAGGCCACAGAATCATCCTGATAATGAACAGCATAGCAAGAATTGGCTTAGGCCCTACCTGAGGAAGCAAGTTACCTTTCAAGAGGGTTAGCAGCATTGTGAGCAGTCCTGGTGATACAGTGCCAGGAAATGCTGGAGAAGAAACTCATCTCCTCTCACGCTGGAGCTGCTGATATTTCAGCTCTTTTTCCCCACTCCACAAAGGGGTGAGCACTGACTGCTCAAAGCAACACACCAGACTAGCCAATCCTCCAGTAAATTCCCATATGAGGAAGACCAAATTTCACATCCCTCTTCTAATGATGAAAGCTAGAACAGGTTCATAAGAAGCAAACAAGAGACATTCAGCATCTCTGCCATGTCCAATGCTGATATGCACCACTTAGACGTGTCTCTTGTCTGCACCAGAAAAAAGTAGTAACCTGAATTTTTGTCTCTTGCAAGCCTGGAGAGTGCCTCAGTCAGAGAAATGGATAAAAGGGCTGGACCTGCCCAGCTTCAGCTTTGACCTTAAGTTCCCCGGGGGCAGCTCCTGCAAAAAATTTTGGTTTTGACAGTCAACATTTTCCAGTGAAATGGTTTTCTGCTGGAAGATTCCTGACCACCACTAGGTTTAAGTTTGCCCCTCTCAAGCAGTCAAACAGTTTATGGTCTCTAAGTACCTCTGAAGACCAACCAACTTTATGGAGCCACTGGAATGCCTGGCATCCACGTTTTAAATCTTTCATGTAAGCAGGCTATTTGAGTCAGAGGACAAGTAAGCACCAGTCCTGGAATCCAAGAATCTCTACTTTGTTCCCAAATTATGAGGACATGTTGCTTCGTCTAAACAGTCGAAGTCTTGTCCCTTTCACAAGCTTCTCAGACCTACCAGCTGGGTCACTGGGATACAATTTTCTGCTTTTATACCACTCATGTGGTTCTGAATCAATAAAACTGGTGACTGTTTCGATTTCACAGTGTTCTCAATAATGGAAACTACCCATGGGAATAACTACTTGCAGGATTCAGTCCTTTAAAGCTGTAACAAAATCCTTTTCATTTTTTAAAGTACCTTCTTTCACTTCCTGCTTCTGGTCTTGATTTTCTGTCTCCAAGTCATCCTGTGCTTTTGGCTCCACCATTTCTTCATCATCTTCATCCTCTAAAGAAAAGGAAGAAAAAGATTTGTGAGATTCACTTCCCCCAGGGGGAGGGAAATAGCCTATCTTCTTTATGATTATAAACTGGTAGTAAACACGGGTAAAGCAAAGTGCACAATAAATGGAAACGTCTACATTTACACTCAAAGTGACGCTCTCGGGAATTTCCCCCCGGACTGCAAGGGAATCTGCTAACACAGGGCACCTGCCACTTGTGCTCCCTGTGGCAACTTCCCATCTCAGATGTCGGCTGAATATCTCCCTGACCTCGGAGATGACTTCTTGGATGGCATAAGAACAGATGCAAACGTGTTTCAGCCTGGCAGCTATTCCACGGTTGGGACACCTGCTATCCAGACACCTCATTTCCAATTCAATTCTCACCAGATTAATTTGTCTTTTGACCTACAGGAAAGGGTTAAATAGAAATCTGACCTCAGGTCAGATGCCACTAGCAAGCAAACAAGCATGGTACAGTTCTGAAAAGTCATCACCATCAACTGGAGGAACACGGCAACCAAAAGTGGCATTTGGAGCTTAAGAACCATTCTTGCATTAATACAAATTTAATGAACACTAAAATTTGACACATGTCAGTTACTACTGCCAGATGTTTTAATGACCTTTCCTGACCTATGCAAATGCCTCTTTCCTTTTTTTTTCTTTCCCTTCCCCTCTCTCCCCACACTCACATGTTCTCATTTTATTCAGGAGGGCAAACCATTCATTCCTTGATGTCTGCCTGAAGTTGAAGGGTTCTGATTGTCCAGACCAAAACAGAATACAAGCAGAGCTGGAAAGACAGTGATGCACCAAAACGGCTCAAAGCCTACCTAACCCTCATTACTTGTTCCCAGCTACAGCAACGTGATTCATCCTCCAGTGCCCAGGGCCGGCACCCAACCCACTCATGCTCCTGAGAGGGTAGGGATGCTCAGCCTTCCAGATTCAGCGAGCTATGAAGACTGAAAATAAAGCTGGTCCTAAAAAAGTGAGTTACAGTAATTAACAATTAAGATAAGCAAATCTGGGGCTTTGGAGGAATTATTCTGGAATGATTATGGAGCTTGAAGCAGCATCACTGGTGCCCTGGGTTGGTCCATTGCATGAGAGAACGCATGTTGTCCCAGCCCCAGGGCGTTCAGCCATCAGCAAAACCACGGCGGTTCCTTCGGGGCTTTCTGAGCAATCTGCCTGTCACCACATGGCTCCTCGCGATGTGCTGCTTCTCCAGGCACACTCCCTGCTCTAACGCCACCGTGTTCACACGGCCTGGAAGTGGGCAGGGGGCAACATGTCATGCTTCTCCAACTGCTCGGCTACTGGCACCTTCTCCTGCGAAGGCTGGCTGCGATCAGCCCTGGCTTCTCGGGGAGATGTTGGTGCTGACAGGTTGCATTCAGCCAACAGTAACACGCAGCTGTATTTTGTTTTCAATAATGTAACAGGCACCATACTATTCCCACCACGTTGCCTGCCTTAGGACTTCTCCCCCAGAAGCCCACAGAGCGCATGTTGCTAGCTGACATCTTGGCTGGAGAGCACGGCTTAGCTACGTACAATAAGGAAGTGTCTCAGCGTGGATAGATACGCTTTTCCCTCTTGGGAAAAAAGAGGAAATCTTGGCATAAGGTCTGCCATCGCTCCCCCTACTGCTAGTGACTGCGGTGAGAAGACGGAAAGCCTGGCTCCCCGGTCATCAGGGAGGAGGGATAACCATGTGCTCCCCAGGCTGGGAAGGGAGCCTCCTCCCTTCCCAGCCTGGATGGGGAGGCATTTCCAGAATTAAAAGCACAAGTAATGCCACCCATTAACCAAATTAATCACGGATTTTTCAGAGCATGAGAGGAAACAGCCGCTCGGAGGGGGGCAAAGCTAGGGTATTCACATTGCCTCCCTTCGATGCCTCACTGGGCAATTACATTTCCCTGGGTACCCTATATAGAAGGGAGATAACATCCGACACAGTCAGCAGCGAGTCAGGGAGAAACGCTCACCTGCCGTGCACACACTGGAGGGGTGCAAATGTCCCTCTGCCACCAGTCTGCGGCGCTAGCGGAGATGGGGATGCATGAAAGAGAGAGGCACTCCCAGTTTCAAAGAACAGATGAGAAGTGTGAGAAGAGAGAGGAGCGCCTGGCAGCAGGGAGTGAATATTCTGCTAACCTCAGGTACATGTGCAGACGCAGATAGGATCGCAACGGTGTACAGATATATGCACACAGACACGCTTATGGCAGATACCTAATGAAGCCAACTCCCACAAGAGTTTTGTGAGTCTTGCATTACAAGTTTTCATTCCCTAGAGCAGCAGCTCTTGGAGCCAGCTGTTTACATATGGATTTCAGCTTCCATTTTTAACCTGTTTCCAACCTGTCTGCTTGTGCAGGGGAAGTTTCAAAAGGGGAATGGTTTGAGAAGACTTGAAGGAAGCAAAGCAAAAATAAATGAGTATTTAATTGAAAATCTTGGGATTTTTAAGGCAGCATGCTATGCTTTTTAATGCCTGAGTTGCTAATGGATAGGGACGATGTAGCAAATGTAAAACTCCAGATTCAGTAGCAGGTTTTCAGACTGAAGTGAAGCAAATTTATCCCTGTCCCCTAGAAGTCCACAAACCCCCGGATTTTGGTTGCCAAATTGTTTGCCTGCCTCTTGCCTGTTCCTGCTTCTAAAGCAGAGACGGAATGAATGGCTGAGGCACAGCCGGAGCCAGGGGCTGTATTGATACTCCAGCACCTATTAAGGCAGATCTTCTTTACTTCCCTTCTTCTTCTGGGAGCAATCAAAACCAAGTTTCCCTATCTTTCCCTGGATTTAATTGCAGCAGGAAAAATAAGTAAAGGTTATTACAATGCATGCCATGCCTTTTTTTTTTTCCAAGGGCACACACATCAATAAATTAGTTTTACTAGGGAGGCAGTGTAAGAGTTTTTAGCAGGTTAGACACAGTTCAGATGTCCTTATTTATTTACAGAGAAACGTATATGCATACACAGAGAAACTCAGCTAAAAGAACGATATGGTTGTGAGCCAAATACTAAAATGTTAGCAAATGCCAGAATTTGGATTGCCTGGGCACGATTAGCTCCTTCCTTCTCCCCACGTGTAGGCATGATGACATCATTCTGGAATTTCCTCCCTCTTGAGTGCTTGGCCTCATTTTCTGGGTGCTCAACAAGAGACACCTGGGGCCTGAAATGCAGAAGTGCTGAGAGCTGAAGTCAACTGGGCCTGTGCTTTGAGTGGAGAAAGTGCTAGGGAAATGCTTCGCGTGTGAAAGCAAGCTCCCTCATCTCTCTTTCAGCTTTTGCTGTAAGTTGTCCTTCTGGCATTTTTGTCCTTTTTCTCCCTGTGCTTTGGGTTTTTTGCATGATGACAATAATATTGTGAAGATAACAGTGTTCTCACCCTGCACAGATGTGTTGCAGATTCATCAGAATTTGGGGCATATTAAGATGCTGTCATCAGAGCACCAGAGAAACAAAAGCTTGGAAAGGGATTAATGTTTCCTGTGTTCAGTGTAATTCTTGGACCATGCGCATTAATGTGAGATCTGAGGCCAGAGCACCAAATGGAAGAAGGTAAAAACCAGAAGGGTTAAAAAACTGATGCCTCATTGACTGGCTGAAACAAGAATCTGTTAAGGAAAAAAACGCTACATGTTATTGTGTAATTAAAATTGTATCATCATGTGTATTCAGAAGGGCTAATTAAGGATGCCCAGGAAACCTGCATTCTGGAATATCCAATGCTGCTCGACTTTGCAGCCTGAATGGTTATTGAGAATCCTTTGGCAGTCCTTTAAAGACCTTTCCTTGACATTCTTCCTTACTATATTGGAGAACATAATGTTGCCCAAGTGCAAGTATCTGTAAGATTCTTCTTTTTTTTTTTTTTTTTTTTTTTTTTTTTTTGATATTGCACATTATTTAATGCCAGTGTATACATTCTTACACATGTTCACAGTACATAAATTTGCTATTGTCCCTAAGTATGGGTATGCATTTGTAAATTTGACTCTGCACATACACATACATTACAGAATAAGGGGAAATGCTTTGGCATTAATTTTCTAGTGTTTTACTTAGATGTGAAAAAGATAGCATTTATGGTACATTTATTAGAGAATCTGTGAGCATCTATATGGTTATTTGTTTCCATATGTGCCTACTCAGACTGGATGTGCCATTGCAGTAATTGTCCAGGGAAATGAAGACACTTTGTTGGTTCCTGAACAGAAATAGCCTTGCCCTATTTAAGAGCATATCTGACCTTGTGTAGTTGAGAGAAATAACTTCTTAATTACATCACAGTATTAGGAGTCTTCTAGTCACATTTGGCAAACGCAGAGTTGCTACTAGCACCAGCAGTGTTACACCCTGTTCGGAAGATCTAAATCAGAACCCAAAAGTCTATTAAAAGAACCACATGAAAAAGAGCTAGTAATGAAGAAGTGTATAGTTGCTGGGTAACACTTCTCCTTTGTAGATCTCAAAGGACTTTGCAAGGAGGCCAGTTCTATTATGCCCGTTTGCCACGCAGAAGCTGATGGGTAGACCCACTCGCTGTAGATCACTCAGCAGACCAACAGCTGAGTGAAGAATAGAGGGTTGGCTTCAGAGTTTCAGCCTAGAGTCCTGCCTACTAAGGCCACCCTGCCTTTTACTGTAAATAAACAATTCCTCAATGGAAATGACCATTAAATGCTTAGGATAAAGATATTCATCTGCTGAAGCTGGTGGAGCCATGTGTGGGATTAATACATACTGACATAGCTGGACCAAATACTGTTTCTTCTTAACTTGGAATTTGATGACTCTCCAGGCTCTAGGAGGTGGCCAATCAGTCCTAACAGCATTTTGTTTAACTTGATGAAGTAAAAGCAGAGCAATTGTTCTCAGCTTGCACTTAGCTTTGAACACTCCTGCTTCTGCTCCAGACCAGAAGTGGTCTTGTCTGTCTAGAAGCTTGCCTGTTTTTTCCAGCTACAGAAGTTGCT